AGATTGTATATACTCTCTTCACTAAAGCCTATATTGCTTCTTTTTTTTTTTTTTTTGTAGGAGAAACAAATTTCTAAGAGGTTAATCTGATAAAACACATTGTTTAATAGTAATATTTTACGGAAAAAAAAAAAAAAAAAAATTTAGTCAATTTTTCTATATAATTTGTAATATCTTATTGGTAAAAGAATAAAAATCAAAATCAAAAAGGGTTACATAACATTGGTGCAGTGAATGTGAAAAACAGCTCATTTTTATATACAAAGTGAATAATAAAAAACCTGCTATTATTGAGTAAACTAACCATTTAAGAAAAAACCTGAAACTTGACCAATAGAAAATGGTCTTCCAAAGGACAAATAAAAAAAAAAAATGTTTTTAATACAACCAAAAATAATAAAATAGCTTAATATTTTATAGTCATTGATCTCAGAAAATACTTTTTTATACAGGAATATAAGACGAAAATTATTTTTATTGCTAGAATTTTTGTTTTTGTGACAAGTTGTGGTAGACAGTGATAAGTTTCTTCTCTTTGCCTCCCATTCATGATAGTTGTCAATGTTTAACGATCATGTACATTGGAAAAAAAAAAAGAAAAGAAAAAAAAAAAAAAAGTGTACTCACCTAAAAAAGGTCACAAAAAAATTCACAAGGTCAATATTTGGCTGCTGGGTAAATGTAATCTAGAAATATAAAGATTTTTAAAATAATTAAAGGCATGAGAGAATGAATATTGATGGAAACAGATAATATTTGAACAAATGTGTGTGTGTGTGTGTGTGTGTGTGTGTGTGTAACAAAAATAATCTGTGGTGAAAGGTGTTTCATCACCCACAAAGCCATTTAAATACTTTCAAACAAGGTTGGAAAGTGAGGGTTGGACAGCTCCAGCCCAGATATTGCAACAATACTCCATTTTTTGGTCTGATCTGACTCTTGTAAAGACAGAGCATGGCAGATGGGGTCAGGTACTTTCTAGAGCAAGCAAGCAGAATGGATAGATTTTCCCCCAACATCTTTATCAATGGATTGTATATAAATAAATACAGGGAAAAACAGATGTAATCAAAAAAGATGTTTAATGTTGCAGTTACATCATTGATAAAAAAACAATCATCTTAATACTAACAGAATATTCAGCTCATTTGTGTTCGAATCTATTAAAATGTACAGTAATATCTATCTCATGGCAAAGCAAGAGTCCTTTTATAGGACTCTATTGCTTTGTCATGAGAAATAAAAATATCTTCAATTGTAAACAAACAAAGGTTAATCCTCATTCCCCTCTAAAAAAAAAAAACAAAAAAAAACCAAAAAAAAAAACCAAACAGAAAACGCGCAAACAAAAGAATTTCTGAAAACTATTGACAACAGTACTGATTCATTATTGGAAGCCACAAGCTTAACAACACACAGATGACACAGTGTTGATAACAGGCACAAAAAGAAAGCTACAAAAACTCCTACAGAAGGTAGTGAAGGAAAGCAAGAGAAGAAAGGATTAAATGTCAACTGCAAGAAAACAGAATGAATGATTGTTAGCAAAAAGATGAGCCCAAAGTGTGAATTGCAAATCAGAAATACCAAAATCAAACAAGTGAGGAAATTTAAATATCTGAGAAGTGTTTTAACAGATCACGGAAAGTCCGATACGAAAATCTGAAGGTGTATTGGGATAGCCAAAGAAACATTCCAAAAGTTAAGTAGAGTACTAAGAAATAATAGAAAAATTTTGCTAGAAACAAGGCAAAGAGTACTAAATTGTTACGTGATATCTGTCTTCCGGTATGACAGTGTGTGCTGGAAAATCTCAAAGATGAAGAGATTTGAAGCAACAGAAATGTGGTTCTACAGAAGGATGCTGAGGATACCATGGACTGAACATGTGAGCAATGACAAAGCTTTGAAGAATATGGAAATAAATAGGAAACTAATTAACATCAAGAAGAGACAGTTGAGGTTTCTAGAGCACATAAGGAAAGAGGGCTTGGAAAATCTAATACTCACATGACAGACAGAGGGCAACAGAGACAGGAAAACAATCTAACATACTTGGTGAGCTTGAGAAAAATAACAGAAAGAAAGTTTATTAAGAGCTATAATGACCAGGAAGTAGTGGAGAACTATGATTGCCTATGTCCTGAAAAGACACAGCAGAAAGAAAACTCGTCTGAACATCTCCAAAGAAAAATAAATGTGTCTTCATGGAGTCAAGATTATAAACAAGCAGAACAACTGGCAACATAAATGTAGAAATGTTAATTGGTTATGTGAAACATAAATTTCTTTTAAATGTTTAATAAAAGGAAAAGTAGCAGTATTTAAAACAGGCATAATTACTTCTACATAATAACTTCCGGGATTAAATTCCAATTTCTTACAATTCAAAATAGCAATTAATGAAGAAATAAATAACATCAGCGTCCATATTTTTAGTATGAAATTAATTAAGAATCATTTGCCTAATCTAATTAGAATTTAATACAGATCTCACCAGGAGTCAATGGTTCTTGCAGGATGACCTGCAAGCTTTTGTCTATTGGAGATTAAAAAAAAAAAAAAAAAAAAGATTTAACTAGAAATTTAGAAAATAAATTCTTCAAAAACTTCATTAACCAAGTTCAGAAAATCCAAACAAAAACAATCAATAATCAAAACTAAAATAAAAAGATGTAACCGTAAGTTCTATGCTAACAGTTTCTTCCTTCACTTTCCACTTGTAGAAGTCTCTTCAGATTTCTTTTCCTAGTCAGCTTTGATCTTCAAAAATTCAAATACGATGTCAATCGTTATCTTTTGTCTTATTAATTTCTGTTCTTCTCTCTCAAGTTTTTCTTTTTCTCATTCTTTCACAATCGGTACCCCTTGCATCTTAGTGACTTTATTGCCTTGCTTGGGATGAAATGATTAAAAAAAATATTTAGAGATTTTTTAAACCAACAATGAGAAAGTTATTTGTATTAAGAAAAGGTTTAATTTTTGTCTAAACTTAGCAAAACAAGTCAAATTGTAATATCAATTTAAGATTTTCAGATGTTATTGTAAATCTGAACTACCAAAAATAATCTGTTTGGGACAAATTCTAAATAAAAGCCATTATTTCAATAATGTATAAAAACAGTTCTCTTTAATTGTGCTCATTTTTATTATATACTAGCTTAAACTGTGCAGACTTAAGCTAGCTCCTATGTAGACCACAGCCTAAAACTAAAGCAACCTCTGGTCCAGCTTAGAAAACAGCAATGATAATTTTGAAGAAATAACTTTGAATTACTTAATTCACTCTGTGGAACTAACTTTAATTCAACCTATAAGTCCAATTCAGGCCAAAAGACAGATTGGGCCGAAACTCCAATTCAAGGTGAAATTCCAATTCAGGCTGAAAATGGAGTTCTTCAAATCAAAAATTCTGTGGAACATCACAAAACCTCTCATTTTAATTCAGATGCCTTGGCATTTTGGAGAAATAAAATTGACTTCCTCAAATCAAAATTTAAACTTAATTTAAAACAAAAAAAAAATTTTAAATGAAAAACTGTTTTTAAATTCACTAATTTTTTTTTCAGTTATTTTAAAAATTTGAATTTTTAACTGTTCCTTCCACATCCAAATACAAATACAAATCCCGATGAAGTTCTAGAGACAATAGAAATAAAAAGGACAGATACTTAACATCAGAAAGAAATAAGTTGAAATTTCTAGGGTAAACAATGAGGAAAGAGGGGTTGGAAAATTAGATACTCCTAGAACAGCTTGAAGACAAAGGGGACAGAGGAAAACAACGTATAACCTATCTAGCTAGCAGAGCAGGGTTTGGGAGAGATAGCAAAAAGACAAAATTTATTAAGAGCTACAAAGGATGAGAAATGATGGAGAGCCATGATTACCAACCTGAAAGGACACAGAATCTAGATCCCAAATAGTAAAGTAGTAATGATTTGTTAGTTACTAATAATAAATGAAAGTGTTAGATTAGATTGGAATAATTCAGGTGGCTGAAATAGCATCATAAAATGTCTGACCACTGATCGTCCTTGAGGAATTCAAAGAATAAAGGATTTACACAAATGGAGAAGGATTCTTTAGTAACCACTCCAATATATTGTGTTCTAACTCATCGATTACTGCTTATCATAACAAAGCAGTTATTCTAATAGAGAGATAGAAAATGACACGTGATAAAATGAAAATTAGCATTACTTTTAAAATCACCAACATGAATGAAAAAAAAAACTCATCTGAAAGTAAATAAAATTTAACTTGTCCCTCTTAAATCATTTTTTTTTTTTTTAATAGTTAGAAACAGTATTTAAAAAAAAAAACTTTTCACTTGAATTACACAACATTTTCATGATGTATGTATTTAAACTTCTTTGAGTTTCACGCCTCATTTTCTTAATGATTATTATCTTTTCAGAATAATTTTGCTTATTGGCAATCATTTCAGTAATTTATATTATGACCCTGAGGATGCCAGGAAAAATTCTTTTGGTGAATATTTTTAAGCATGAGACCTGATGCACATAAATGGTAGTAAGCCAGAAAATCATGCTTGAATAATTGATTCTATAAAAATAGAAAAGAAATTTCATAATCAAAGAACAAATAAAAATTATACAATTTTAGCATCTTATAAATTATCAATTTATAATTTTTTTTTTTTTTTATAACTATGTCAAAAATATTTATTTAAAAAGGTTCTATGTTTAAATCTTTTTAAGACGGATTGATTTGTTTTTTTTTTATGGCTAAAAGACTTTTTGCAGGTTATTTAAAGACAGAAAATATTTTTAAATTGTAAGAATTTTTTGAAGATAATGATTTTACTGATACAAGTCCTACTAATCAACTAATAGCAGGGAGGGTGGTTGAAGAAGAGCTGGATTCATACCTTTCCCCTGGTTATTTGCATGTAAGCGAATATAATGAACTGCAATTGGAACTAGAGCGATTTCAAATTCTGATCTGTTATCCATTACATCATCTGCACATGCAAGCTTACAACACCTGATATTCCCAAGTTGTCACCCATTTAGGTACTAACCTGGGTTGACATTGCTTAACTTTGGTGATCATACGAGAACCTGTATTTCAACATATGGCTGTAAGCATGCACAATATTAGGAAAAAAATATGAAGATTTGATCAATTGGAAAAATGTCAAAATAAAATGAAATTCTATTCAATAGGAAAATTTCAATGTTGATCATTTCCTTTTTGTTAATTCAAAATCACTAACATAATAAAGAAAGAAGAACTGCAATGACAGAACATTGTCCATTGTATAAAACTATGTATACAGATTTGTTATTTTGGCTACAAAAAAGCCTTTACTTTATCTAATCCAATTATTTCCAATAGCATTCCTAATCATATTATCATTCAGACAAAAGATACACTCAAGCCAAAATAATTTGAGATTAGTTGGAAGCAAATCTCTTCTTTGGCTTGATGAAAACAGCATTAAGTTTGTTTAAAGGATAATTCTTTCCACTAAAGACATTCTTATTTTTTTGTAAACTACATTAGATGTTAAATAATCAAAAGATTTATGAGAGAGAGAGAGAGAGAGAGAGAGAATAGCAGAGAGAGAGAGAGAGAGAGAGAGAATAGCAGAGAGAGAGAGAGAGAGAGAGAATAGCAGAGAGAGAGAGAGAGAGAGAATAGAGAGAGAGAGAGAGAGAATAGCAGAGAGAGAGAGAGAGAGAGAGAATAGAGAGAGAGAGAGAGAGAGAGAGAGAGAGAATAGCAGAGAGAGAGAGAGAATAGCAGAGAGAGAGAGAGAATAGCAGAGAGAGAGAGAGAGAGAGAGAGAGAGAGAGAGAGAGAGAGAGAGAGAGAGAGAGAGAGAGAGAGAGAGAGAGAGAGAGAGAGAGAGAGAGAGAGAGAGAGAGAGAGAAAGAGAGAGAGAGAGAGAGAAATAGCAGAGAGAGAGAGAGAATAGCAGAGAGAGAGAGAGAGCAGAGAGAGAATAGAGAGAGAGAGATAGAGAGAGAGAGAGAATAGCAGAGAGAGAGAGAATAGCAGAGAGAGAGAGAGAATAGAGAGAGAGAGAGAGAGAGAATAGCAGAGAGAGAGAGAATAGCAGAGAGAGAGAGAGAGAATAGCAGAGAGAGAGAGAGAGATAGAGAGAGAGAGAGAATAGAGAGAGAGAGAGAATAGCAGAGAGAGAGAGAGAATAGCAGAGAGAGAGAATAATAGAGAGAGAGAGAATAGCAGAGAGAGAGAGAATAGCAGAGAGAGAGAGAATAGCAGAGAGAGAGAGAATAGCAGAGAGAGAGAGAATAGCAGAGAGAGAGAGAGAGAATAGCAGAGAGAGAGAGAGAGAATAGCAGAGAGAGAGAGAGAGAATAGCAGAGAGAGAGAGAGAGAATAGCAGAGAGAGAGAGAGAGAGAATAGCAGAGAGAGAGAGAATAGCAGAGAGAGAGAGAGAGCGAGAGAAAAGAAAGACATTTAAGAAATTGAAATGAGTTTAATTTAAGAAATTGTAGGATATTATACTGATTATCATGAGAGTTCATTCATGTTGGTTGTTTGGCAGCATATCATCCACTATTGGTTATTTAATGCCAATATATAAATTCTTTGAACACAATTCTATACCTTCAACTCTAAAATGTATTGCTGGTCATTTTACTATATGTATTGTTGGTCTTTTTTCATATAAAAATGTATTGCTGGCATATTTACTATTAAAATCTATTTTTAAACATTCATAGTGTTTTTATTTGGGAGGTTCACTATTTGCTCATAGCTGGAACTTGGACACAATGGCAATCAAGAGATCATTCCATGCTCCTCAAAACCTCCAATCTCCTGATCAGAGGCTGTGTGTCACACAGGATTTGGGGGGGGGGGGTTCGGTGGGTTGGTGGTGGGAAATGGTAGCATATATAATGTTTGTTTTGTTACAAGTTTATCCATCAATTCCAAATTTAAATGAGAACATATAACTTCACTAAAAATAACCTAACCTTTACATAAATTTCTAAAATGTCACAAGTGACAAAATTGGTAGCTATTAGCACTGCATACTTAACTACTATATTGAAAATTAAATCCAATCCCACCCACGCTCAGTGAAATCGTAACTGTTCTTGACAATTGATGCAGAAAAATGGATAAGTATCCTTAACAGAAAACAAATGTATATTTTGTATGAAGAGTAACAGAGACCAAAGCATAAAAGGAATAGTCAACATAATCCTGGAAATGCAAAGTTATTACGCATAGGAGAGAGAAGTTATTAGATATTTGTTATTGGGTGTTAAATAAAATTACTTCCTTATGAAGTTAAGGCAACATGCTTATGAGACTAATAATTTCCAACAGCAAGGATAGAGATTAAATAAACTGAAATGTGCACTGTTGATGCCAACCAATTAACATTGAGAGTTGGTTTTAATTAAAGCAGAAGCCAATGCCAAACATTATTGCTTAGAGAAGCAGTTATTTACACAGAAACTGATTCTCCTACATATGGCACCGCATCTTATATTAAATATGGAATACCCCTAGTCAAGTATTTCAGAACCAAATTGCTGATATTTAAGAAAGCTGTCTGGAGTGCTGCCAGAAAAAAAAATCCTTGAAAAATTATCAAAGAATAAAGTTTAAAATAGATTCCTGTTTGACTACTACAAAATAGATGCAAATATGAGCTGAAGAATATTCTAGAGAAATGTGAACATGAAAATTTTGCATTTGCACATAAATAAACTTAAAACAAGTGTATATTTTTCTGAGGTGTCATCATTGATGTTTTATAACCAAGATCATCAGTCATTTTGGGTCTTCCAACATCAGATCCTCTCCCCTGTTGATCCAGTCGACGATGATCGAAAACTGATCCACCTTCCCACAACTGGATGCCACTACATACACCTCAATTCCCACTTTGGTATTTTCAAAATGTTACCATCAACCAGTGGGCTCCTGGCATTGGTCAACTGTCTTCTGTGTCCTGGGTATGATAAACTACATCTGGCAGCAAGAGAGGTTTTAAGGAGCATGGAACCATCTCTTAATTGGTATTGTGCCTAGGTTCACCCTGACCAGGGTGGTAGCACATGTTAGGATCCCAACTATAGTTACCCCCCCCTCCAAAACTGGGGTTAAAACACTATGAAAGAATAAAAATACTTGTTATAGTAAAAATAACAATACATTATTGTAAAAGAAATTAATAATGCTCCCAAGAAAATTAAATTTTGGCATTAAATGACCCATAAGGTGTTGATATATTGCTAAACTGACAGACCACACTCTAAGTAGTTTGATTTGCCACCTTTTTTCTAGAATAATCTGATGAAAGCTTTGGAAAGTTTCATTTTAGAATGTCTAACAGGCATTAAAAACCTTGATACCTGTTCATATCCTCAAATTTGCATCAGAAGTATGAATAAAATATTGAAGGCCACAATAGGTTTTTGCAACATCAGATAGAGAAAGGAGCACCAATCGATCTGGCAAACACTGATGCCTTATAAATCCATATGCTCTCACTCTGGCCAGTAGAAAATGGCCGCAAACTACATGAAAACTGACGTAGAAGCAGGAAAAAAAAAAAAAAAAAAAAAAAAAATAATCAATTATTTCCACTATTGATGGGAGTTGGGAAATGCAAAGTTGGTCTTGGCCTTCTCACTAACTTGGAGCATGTGCATGTAAATTTTGGTGCAAATCCATCAAAAATTGCGGCCATGCATTCGTTACACACACACATCCATCCATCCAGCCTTTTATAGATAGAGATGCAAGAATTTGAGGCGAACACAAGCTACTCATTTCTGAGCACACCAAAATCAGGCCTGGTGAACAGTTTGAATAAAGTCAGTATGCTCAAAACCTTGGTCACAATGACTCATGACTCCATGCTAGTATTACCATCAATGACATTAAATCAATTGTCAACCCAATTTCACTTACAAGGCTTGGGCCAACCTGTAGCATGGTATTTAAACACTTTCCAAATGTGTGCCACCACATACTGGGATCGACTCCAAAGACCAATAACATCAACAAGTCACCTTTCTGATAAATTGACCATGGGGACATTCAAAACCTGTGTTTCACAGTCAGAAAGTGAATCTTCTAACTAGTAAATACCATATATATACTCAAGTATAGTGCAAGTTTTTATCATTTTTTTTTTTTTACTCCCAAAAATAGGGTATCATACCATAAAGAGGCAATTTTTTGGAAGCGGTTAAAAATCACATTTTTGGTAACCTGCTGCACTATACAAAGGTAATTTTTTTCTGAAAGGGTTAAAATTCATGCAAAAGAAAAAAAATTTAAGGTTTGCACTATAGATGAAGTCAGTTTATAAACAGGTAAAAATGGGAAGTAACTAGCAAATTAATTTATTTTTAGGAACAAAAAGCATCAATAGTGGTGATAAACTAGTGCTAAGAATTATTTTCAAACCTAGTAAATATCAAAACCATGATGTCTCACAATTTTAAAAGCTTTCATGTCAGTAAAAGTAAAATGTCTCATCTGGACAATAAAAAAACTTTGTTCATGCAATGTAGGAGTTTGGAAATTAAAATTTTCAAACCAAGTAAGTATACATTATAGGTCTAGGCAAACTTGAACCTTTGAACCCACAACATACAGACACTGCTAATATTTTAACTACCTTCACTAATTGATAATTTGAATTGTAATAAAGACTAAACATATAATGAAAGTGAATTTATACATGGTTTTCTTTGTTCTTGAGAATTTACAACAAAAATATACTAGATTGTTTACTATTTAACATACTAAAAACTAATAGAGTTAAAACTAATATTCATCATTTACCAATTTATAAAGAAATAAATATGAAAATTTGTTTTTCATAAATTTATAAACATTTATTAAAATTATTAAAATAAGGGAACCAACTATAAGGAAATCCTTATTTATCATTTTATAAAGTTTGAATTGATTGGAAATTAGCCAATGTTTTGCCAACCACTCAAACACCAATTATTATATTGTTTATTGATTATTCTTGCTGTCAATTTGCAAGAAAAATGTATAAATTCACTTTCATATGTTTAGGTTTTATTACTATTATAATCATTGCTTTTTAAAACAAAAAACATTGATGAGGGGCAAAGGCAGGAACTAAATAGAATAATAGCAGTGTCAATGGAAAAAACAGTCCTTTTGACATTTTTTTTGTAGGCATGAAGGTTCAAGTTTGCCTTAAGTCTATATAGACGTTTTAGGCAAAATATAGCTTTAAAAAGGAAAATAATTTTGTAATGAAGTAAAGAAGGTTATAGTCAGCTGAATCACATTTACAATTAAAAACCCTTAACATTAATCATTTAATCAATATAGAATGACTTAAAACAAGCATTTCAGATATTAATACAGCCAATGAAAATATGTTCAGTTTTTATCCAATGTGCAAATAAGAATTAATATAGCTAATTATTCACTTTTCTTTCTACAGATGGTAATAGCATTTTATAATTAAAGGAATAAATTGAAGCCTTCATTTCTATTACTGGCTACTGTTGATCATGTATTTCATGTAAGCAAATGAGTGCAATATTGAAGGGAATCCAAATATTTGCTTAACTGATAACGAGCCTAAGTAATTAGTGCTAATGAGTAACAGCTAAGGATATGTTTAGCAAGGATTGTCATTGACCTTCAAGACAACTATGAAATTAAAAAAAAAAAATCCACTCAAGTTTAATTCAACAGAAACTAATATGAGATACTAATTGATACAGTAACCAAGAGAGTCAATCAGAGAGTCATAAATGAGGACTTCAGTGATGAAGCAGTTATACAATAATATGAGTCATTCTAAGCATATCTAATGTGTTGATTTTTGTTATTCTGACAATAGATGTTCATATCTGA